TAGGAGTTGTTAACCTAATCTTGTGTAGCTTCTTCTCTGGTAATATTGTACTACTAACTAGAGCATACAAAACATTTGCTAGACCAGTTCTTGAATACAGCTCATCTGTCTGGAACCCGCACTGCATATCGGACATAAATACAATCGAGAGAATCCAGAGATATTTTATGAGAAGAGTCCTCCATTCCTCTACTCGCAATAAAATACCTTATGCCACCAGACTCCAAATTTTGGGCTTAGACAACCTAGAACTACGCCGACTTCAGTCTGGCCTAAGCATAGTACATAAAATTATCTTCCACAATGTCCTTCCTGTCAATGACTACTTCAGCTTCAACCACAACAATACATGAGCAAATAATAGATACTAGCTCAAGGTAAACCGCTCCAAACTCTATTGCAGAAAATATGACTTCAGTAACAGAGTGGTCAATGCCTGGAATGCACTACCTGACTGCAGTTTCTTCCCCAAACCCCCAAACTGTCTACTGTTGACCTCACCCCATTCCTAAGAGGTCTGAAAGGGGCGTGCATAAGTGCACCAGCATGCCTACCATCTCTGTCCTAATATTCCTTTTTACTCTTACTCTTTTCATGTATTCAAATTATGTTTATATTTTTACCTGTTATCTTATATATGCTTGACAAATAAACTTATGATTATGATTATATATTCTCTTTTATTAGTATAAAAAAGGTAAAAGTTCCCCTCGCACATATGTGCTAGTTGTTCCCGACTCTAGGGGGTGGTACTCATCTCCATTTCAAAGCTGAAGAGCCAGCGCGGTCCAAAGACATCTCCGTGGTCATGTGGCTGGCATGACTAAATGCCAAAGGCGCATGAAACGCTGTTACCTTCCCACCAAAAGTAGTCCCTATTTCTTCTACTTTCATTTTTTATGTGCTTTCGAACTGCTAGGTTGGTAGAAGCTGGGACAAATAATGGGAGCTCACCCCGTTATGCGGCACTAGGGATTCGAACCACTGAACTGCCGACCTTTCGATCGACAAGCTCAGTATCTTTGCCCATGAGCCACAGCATCTCTTACTAATATAGTATAACCTTTATTGTCATTGCACATCATGTATACAACGAAATTGGTTTTAGCCTCACTGGTGCAATCCATGACAAAAAATACAGACAACATAAATAGTATAAAGAATAATCCCTATGCAAGTAATTGGGGGGGGGGAGAAAAAGAAAGAAAAAGAAAAACTAGTCATACGTTTCCGCGTGTGCGTAGAGTGATTGTGGTTGTGTTTAAGAGTCTGGTTTACTAAAAGCTGGAACTCATTTCTGAATATGAGAAAATTGACGGAGAAGGATTTCACTCTGTGAAATTGTTCCAGTGCTTGAAACCAAAATAAATAAAATATCCTCAAAGCTTGAAAGGAATCTGAGTCATTTTTTTTTTCATCACATATCCATGAGGTAAAGTTTCACCGGGACTTTCCAGTATTCAAGATCAAGTGAAAGAAATGCATTCACAACTAATAAACAGTCTTGCTAACTGTTGCAATAATCTATGAGTCGAAAGAGCCAGCTATATATTTTTCAACTTTATTTTTCATTAAAAATTTAAAACCACCCAATAGTCAAAGCTTTCTGGGCTATTTACAATAAAACAGGAGAAGTTGAAGAGACTGGGAATTTTTAGCTTTGCAAAAAGAAATCTGTAGTGGGAGATGATAACACTTCTCCACTCCCTGAAAAGTTACCTGGTTAAGAAAGTACAGGTAGTTCTCAACTTAAAACCATTCATTAGTGACCATTCAAAGTTACAATGTCACTGAAAAAAGTGACTTAAGGCCTTTTCCCCCATACTTATGACCATTGCAGCATCCCCTGGTCACATGATCAAAATTCAGGCTCTTGGCAAACCGCATGTATGTTTTTAATTTTTTTTTATTTTTATATGCCGCCCTTCTCCGGAGACTCAGGGCGGCTTACAATGCGTTAAGCAATAGCCTTCATACTTTTGTATATTTTATACAAAGTCAGCTTATTGCCCCCACAAACCGGGTCCTCATTTTACCCACCTTAGAAAGGATGGAAGGCTGAGTCGACCTTGAGCCTGGTGAGAATTGAACTCGCAGTAATTGCGGGCAGCTGGATGTTAAATGCTGCCTTAGTAGGAGGCATTAGACTCCTGTGCCACTCAGGCTCTTTTATGTATTTATGACAGTTGCAGTGTCCTGGGGTCACGTGATCATTTTTTGTGACATTCAGGCAATCAAAGTCAACGGAGGAGCCAGATTCACTTAACAGCCATGTTCCTAACTTAACAACAGCAGTGATTCACTTAACAATTATGGGAAGAAAGGTCATAAAATGGGACAAAACTCATTTAACGATTGTCTTGCTTAGGAATGGAAATTTGGGGCTCAATTGTGATCGTTGAGATGGTCAGCTATAGGTAAAGGTAAAGGTTCCCCTCGCACATATGTGTTAGTCGTTCCCAACTCTAGGGGGCGGTGCTCATCTCCGTTTCAAAGCTGAAGAGCCAGAGCTGTCCGAAGACATCTCTATGGTCATGACTAAATGCCAGAGGCGCACGGAACATTGTTATCTTCCCACCAAAGGTGGTCCCTATTTTTCTACTTGCATTTTTTACGTCCTTTCGAACTGTTAGGTTGGTAGAAGCTGGGACAAGCAATGGGAGCTCACCCCGTTACGCAGCACTAGGGTTTCGAACTGCTGAACTGCCGACCTTTCAATCGACAAGCTCAGCGTTTTAGCCACTGAACCACCGCATCCCTCAACTATAGAAATTGAATAAATAAATAAACTATTTTAGCTAATGCCTAATTGTAGATTACATTTGTAGCTTGCTCTGTAGGACTTTGGGGAATGAATGAATGAATGAATGAATGAATGAATGAATGAATGAAATATTTCTATTCTTTTTCTTTCCTTCTTTCCTAAAAATTATCCCACCTCCAGTGTAGCTGGGGTTCCTGGGTGTCTTTTCTTTTACAAAATGTTTCTCTGTTGCAATGCAAATTAAATAACAAGAAAAAAGCGACATCTAGTGTTGGGTTCAGAGGATTTTAATTACACTGAAAGTTGTCAGCATGTAGAAGCGGTCCTGCTGGGAAACAAAAACCTTGTAAGCATGGCTCATTGGTAAGTATACCTTGTGCAGTTTTTTTAAAAGTAAAAAATGTGTTTGTGTAAATGAAATAGTTTCATTTTATATACAGTGGTACCGCAGTACTTGACTGCTTCAAAACTCATTGAATTTGGCACTCAACGCATTTTGATGCAAAAATGTTGCCCCTGCACTCATTGTTTGTTTGGTTCTTGAAACACTGCAATAGGAATAGGAGGACAGCTGTGGAGAATGGAAACGAAGTTGGCCATGCCAGGAAGGTTGCTGCAAAAGGAAGAAGGGGACCGCCATAGAGGGTGGACAGGAAGTTGGTCATGCTGGGAAGGTCATTGACATAGGAAAAGGAACAGACAGGAAGTCCTTCCTGGGCCAAAACATGTGATAAATCAGGTATCCCAAAGGTGCTTTTTCAGGAGGCAACTGGATTTTTCTTTGAAGACATTTTGCTTCTCATCCAAGAAGCTTCTTCAGCTCTGACAGGATAGCGGGGGATGGAAAGATTTATATTCCTTGTAGACAGCTGGTCATTTGCATCCTTTTAGAGGGTCGTTGAAGCACTTGGAGGTTTATCTGTGTCCTCAGGGTCACCTGTGTGGTGCTCCTGGTTCCTGTAGCCTGCCATTTTTTTCTCTGGAAATTCATTCCTACTCCCACACCATTCAAAGGGTGTTCATCCCAAATCGTATAGCTAAAAGTCTGTAGAGATTCTCAGTCATCCAGGTCTTCAAAGAAAAAAACAAGAAAGCCCAGTTGCCTCCTGAAAAAGCATCTTTGGGGCAACCATGATCTGGATGACTGAGAATCTCTACAGATGGTAAGTCAAGTGGTTTGTTTGGTACTCATCATTTTTAGTACTCATCACACCTCCAGAAAACAATTAACGAGTACAAGGTACCACTGTTTAATGAAAAAAAACATGGACGCCACATTTATTTTACCACTCTCATAATTCAGTTTTTCAAAGTGAGACAATTGTATCTATTATAGTTCCAAGAATTGGGTGATCCAATAAAGCTGAATCGCTTTTGTTACAAAACTTGCTGGATTAGGTTTAAATGAAATCGATTCATTTGTGATTCAATGTGTTTTGGGAAACTGCTCATTGCATTAACATATCGTGTTAATCAGGCCATCGCACTAAGGCACATTGTAGTTTATTTGGGGGACCATCGCTGAATATAGCAATTGTGTTTTATTAGTTTGCATTTAGGCTTCTGCATCAGAGGTGGTATTCAGCAGGTTCTGACCAGTTCTGGAGAACTGGTAGCGGAAATTTTGAGTAGTTCAGAGAACCGGTAAATACCACCTCTGACTGGCCCCGCCCCCATCTATTCTCTGCCTCCCGAGTCCCAGCTGATAGGGAGGAAATGGGGATTTTGCAGTATCCTTCCCCTGCCATGTTCACCAAGCCACGCCCACCAAGCCACACCCACAGAACCGGTAGTAAAAAAATTTGAAACCCACCACTGTTCTACATGTTCACTGAATGCTACCAACATCTAATTTAAGGAACAGAAATATAGACAGATAACTGAAGCTATCCTGTGTAATGTTTCATCTGGTTAGGAAAGGAATTTGGAGGGAGGACAATGCTAAAAACCTGCTCAATGTCTTACATTTTGCCTTTGCTTCCAAACTGTATATAATGGATTATCAATGCAAGATAATGCCCGCATAGAATGACCAGAGAAGAATATTGTTGGATAATCTCATTTAGACATCATGTTATTTTACATGTTATTTTTACCTAGGCAACCTTGTTTTCTGTTTACAAAATCGTCCCCAAGTTCCCTCTTAATTTAAACCACAAAAATGTTGGGAAGGAAAAAAATGCACATTTTAAAGGTGTTGTGTGTATTTATGTGCTTTATTTGTGATTTTTAAAAAACAACAACAACAACACACATACATAACATAAGGAAGAAACATAACTATAACTTCACATATTTTTAAATGCTAGGGATTTGTAGACAGTGTTACACTAAATACAAAATGAATGAAAAAAATAACTAAAATAAAGGCCTCTTTCCTTGTAAAATGAGGAAATATGCTTATTATTATTATTATTATTATTATTATTATTATTATTATTATTATTTTGCTAAAATGCTCTTATTAAAAAAATAAGATTGACATTCTTCTAAGGAATCTAGGACCCTGGAGATAATCTTAAATTGTGCATTTTCCATGATTTCCTTTAAGATTTCTTTATGAAATCTTTAGGGGGGAAAAAACCTATTGTTTGAGGTCTTAATTTAAACTGAAATGTAGTGCACAGGCTCATAACACTCCCTTCCCCCACTTACTTTCATCCTAAAGATTTGAGGCATCATCCTGAAAAGTGTTTTGTTCCCCAAATTACAGATAGTTCTCGACCTACAACAGTGCATTTAGTGACAGTTCAAAGTTACAACGTCACTGAAAAAAGTGACTTATGGTCATTTTCACACTTACAACCATTGCAGCATCCAAATTCAGTGATCCAAATTCAGAGGCTTGGCAACAGATTCATATTTATGACGGTTGCAGTGTCCCAAAGTCATGCGATCACCTTTTGCGACCTTCTGACAAGCAAAGTCAATGGGGAAGCCAGATTCACTTAATAATCATGTTATTAATTTAACAACTGCAGTGATTCGTTTAACAACTATGTCAAGAAAGGTTGTTAAATGGGGCAATACTCACTTAACAACTGTCACACTTAGCAACAGAAATATTGGGCTCAATTATGGTCGTAAATCGAGAACTACCTGTAAATTTATTAATTTACCTTCAGGTCATCAAGCATCACCTGAGATACTCCTCCATAATATCCGCTTGAAACTCAATTTAAATTAAAACCCTTTTTAAAAAATAAATAAATAAAACTAGTCAAATTCTCAGAACACTGACAAACTTTATCATGCTTTATCTTTTCAAGATCACTTGACTGATCCTTGATGTCAACAATTAATTTCATGAGATTCTGAAATTCAGAGATCTGCCCACTTCCTCCCTGCCCCATTTTTAATTTTATTATTGAACAATTGCCTGAAGTTGCCTACTACCAACTAGGATGCTCTTTTTTCCCAAGGGGTTTCTTTTCTCCAGTCAGCCCTTGACAGGAAGATGGTCTTTTTTTTTATTCAACTATTAAATAGTGTTAATCCATACAAAATGTTGATACATTACGAAAAGCTAAACCCTTTCAATTTAACTCAGTTCCAGACTGATAGCTATACGTCCCATATATACAATATAAAATCAGTGATAATGTTATCTAAGCTTGTTCACAGAAGCAAGCTTTTAGGTGAAAAAAAATAATCCACGTACAGTATTATTTTTCATGAGTAGCACATTATTCCACAGTTCAAAACCTGGTTTAATATATTCAGCACCAAAAGATTGAGTTTGTTCTCAAGACACGACTAATTCTTTCATCCCAGATGCTGAATTCAAACTGCAGTGGTCCATTGAAGAAATACAAATAGCCTGTAAAAGATGAAAATTAGTTAAAAAAATAATACCGCTTGGTATTGCTACCATATTGCTGCTGATATTGAACACATTTCCCCCCCAAATCATAAGGATTAGATTCTGAGTTTGCTTCCATCAGCAGGATACTCCAGGAAGTTTAATATTAAGCTCTGTTTAATATTACATGGAAGGAAGAGCAAAGAGTGGTATCAAATTTTGAGAAGGCGCCTAATGGTTTGGTTAGGTCCCTCCAAGGAGGAGGCTGAAACTACCTTTTACTTTAATCTCCCCCCTCACATCTCAGGACACCCTCACTTAATTTGGTATCTTTCAGGTAGGTTGGATATGTTATGACAGTTCAGAATATCGGTCAATGTCCCAGGAAAACACTACTTTATGATTTTGTAGAAATTAAGATGGAAACTCGGCCAAACTGTCCAGGGCTGATGGACCAGAAGAAAAAGGAATTAATTAAGAAGGCTGGAAGCCCCTCAAATATCCCCATCAAAAATCAAAGACATATACCATTTTTCTGATAGACTGCATCTACTCGGCGACCAATTCCTGGGAAGTCATCTTGTATAAATCTAGGGTAGCCTTTGTCCATGAACTGATTCTGTTCATCAAAACTACATTGAAGAGGAAAACAAATGAAAAGCCATTACTACTGTTATCCGTGGTTTACTTACAGCATTCTATGTACTGCAGTTCTTTATCAAGAATTTCTTTGAAACACAGTTTACAACAGGGAAAGCTTAATATCCATTGGTGAGTTTCAAATTTTTTTACTACCGGTTCCGTGGGTGTGGTTTGGTGGGCATGGCTTGGTGGGCGTGGCAGGGGAAAGATACTGTAAAATCTCCATTCCCACCCACTCCAGGGGAAGGTTACTGCAAAATCCTCATTTCCTCCCGATCAGCTGGGATTTGGGAAGCAGAAAATAGATGGGGGTGGGGCCAGTCAGAATTTTTACTACCGGTTCTCCGAACTACTCAAAATTTCTGCTACCGGTTCTCCAGAACTGGTCAGAACCTGCTGAAACCCACCTCTGATAATATCCCATATTGAAGTAATGGTTTGTCAATAATATAAAGTGCTAGAAAAACAAAGCACTTGAATGGCATCTGAAAGATATTGTCAGGCCTAAAACCAAGAGTGACACATGGTTATTCTTCCAAGCTATTTCTCTCCTGTAGACAGAATCTTGCCAAACTGAGGACTCTACTGTCTGTATCTACCATATACTCTGAGAACTATTAGGGAGGATCTGTCCTCACCCTCTTTCTCTTACACATAACATCCAAGCTATTTTGTCTCGTACTCCACTAGTACACATCTCCTCCTTTTGGCAACCCATCTCCTCACTACATTTCATCACAGTTACCAGCAGCAGTGCATCACTGTGTGTTAGAACTTATTTAAAAAAGTGTATTACCTATGTCACACACACACTCACACATACGGTTTTTAAATTAGTCTTATAAAGTGGGGGATGTTACACAATACATTCTAATGGTTTCATACTCTGCAAGAGAAAAGACAGAGTAAGTTTAAACAGCAACAGATCAGCAAAATTATACTGATGGCTTAAAATTCAGGGAATGTATTTTCCTAATGAGAATTTTCTGTGACATTTACTTTAATGTTTTTCCAGAGCAACCTTGCCCGGAACTATTTCCCCATTCAGGAAAAAACTTGAACTGATGAGTTAGAGCAAAATATAGTCATATATAAAAGAGACATCCTGAAGCATTTTCTATGACTTTGTTTATTTTGAGGTCTCACCAGCAATACAAACAGACAAATACCTGCCACGTAACACACCAGACTTAGTGATTGTTGTTAAGAAAGGCAAAGAAGTATGGATAGTGAATGTTGCAGTACCTAGAGATAGCAGATTAGACGAGGAAGAACTGGAGAAAAATTGCAAAACACAAAGACTTGGAAATAGAACAACAATGGCAAAAGAAAGCAAGGATAGTATTAATAGTGTAACCCACCACTTGAATACCATTAAATGTGACAAAATCACCATCAGTTAATTGCAAAAGGCAGTATTACTTGGAACAACTTACATCCTGTGATGATATCTCTAACACTATCACTATCAAACATCATCTGCCTATACCAAGTTCTTGGGAAGGACTTGATTGGTGGACAAAAATGCCAATCCAATCTAAACATCTGGCTGATTCTGCGATCATCATACAATAATTTAATTGTTAATTATAATGTTTTCTTGGCCTACATCAACTTACCGTATTTTTTGGAGTATAAGACGCATCTTTCCCCCCCAAAAAAGAGGGTGAAAATCTGGGTGCGTCTTATACTCCAAATGTAGCCCCGCCCAGCTTCTCAAACGGAGGTTTCAGAGGCTGAAAAAAGCATCAGAAAAGAAGCTTCAGAAAAAAAGCCCCCAAACAGAGCTTCAGAGGCTTTTTTTCTGAATCTCTGTTTCGGAGGCTTTCGGAGGCAGAAAAAGTTTTTTCTGAAAGGGAGTTTCAGAAGTTTCAGAGGCAGAAAAAAAAAGCAAAAAAAAGCAATTGATTCAAGGGCATATTTATCTTTGCCTCTCAACAAAAGATGGTGAGAAAAATGTTCAACTTACCTCCAGTATTTTTCTCCTGTAAAAAAGAGAGTTTTCCCAGTCTCACCGATATGGACTGCTGCGTCGATTACCTTTATGGATTTTGGCAAACCCAATTCATAAATTTTTTTAGGATAGCCCTCTACTATATCATAACCATTCAAAGCCCAAACTTTTCTGCCTGTAAAAAAAGTAGAAAATAGATTGTCATATTTGACATAATAATCATTATATATTAATCTTAATTTATGTTTTCTTTGTTGAGACCAACCAAGAATTACTTTGCAAGGAGAAAGTGGTGATGTATAAAAGGTATAAAATACTTTCACTTTATATATCAAGGGTAGCATCCTGTTGGAGTTTGAATTTGATTACTAAAAGCAAAACATATTTGAGTCTACCCTGGAGAAAGTAGTGAGATTTGAAAGACTTGACTTTAGTTGAAATATTACCTATTCTAATACAATTTCTATCAGAGGAAATTACATTAGTAAGTGTAGGAAAATCATGAAAGAGTCTTTTGATGCCATACAGTTCCTTAGTGTTGATTCTGATATTGGCATATAATTATCGGTGAAGACTTCTTTTTTTTCTTAATAATTTTTTTATTTTTTTTAAATATAAACATTCCATCTTCCCTTAAACAGCATGTCATCTGGGTAAAAATATATCCGTGCAATAACCATCAAAATTTACAACAGTATTCATTACATTGATATTAATTCTGTGATCTTACAATTGTAGTATTGAACATACTAAACCTATTCATTTTCCCTCTTAACATATCTTCTAACATATCTTCTTTTTGACAAGTATTTTTTTGCTTTGATAATAGGACCCAGATATCTGGTGGCACTTCCAACATTTGGCTGACTTATTTTTGAACATCTTTGCCAACCTCGCCAGTGCAAAGTGCCATCTATAAAACATCTTATACATATTTTCTTTATATGCAGTTGACATCGTTAATTTGTAGTTTAGACTTCTATGAAGGACTACTTTAGACATCAGTCCTCCAATTTCTGGAAATGCATCCAAGATAACACTGGAACTTTTACATCTCCCCATTCAAGACAAGGAAGTCTGAACCTGAATTTTATTTAACAGATAAAGGTAAAGGTAAAGGTTCCCCTCGCACATATGTGCTAGTCGTTCCCGACTTTAGGGGGCAGTGCTCATCTCCGTTTCAAAGCCGAAGAGCCAGCGGTGTCTGAAGACGTCTCCATGGTCATGTGGCCGGCATGACTAAACACCAAAGGCGCACAGAACGCTGTTACCTTCCCACCAAAGGTGGTCCCTATTTTTCTACATGCATTTTTATGTGCTCTCGAACTGCTAGGTTGGCAGAAGCTGAGACAAGTAACGGGAGCTCACCCCATTATGCGGCACTAGGGATTCAAACTGCTGAATTGCTGATCTTTTGATTAACAAGATTAGCCACTGAGAACAGATATTGGTATTTAAATGATGTTAAATTTTGTTTCAATTGTAACTTTAGAATGACAGAATTATACCGTATTTGTAACTGCAGATGCATAATTGTTTTTTTAAATTTTATTACCATACTGAAATTGGAATATCACTTTTAATGGAAAGGAGGACATAATTTAAACTTTTTTCTTTTTAAATCTTCTTCGTCAACTTACCCCGAAAAAGCAGCACACGATCTTTGTCAGAGTGTTCATAAGCTGCATCAATTTTGGTTGGAATTTCTGGCCAAAATGATCTAATCTGCACCAAATCTGCTTCAACCATCTGAGGATGTAGGCGCCAAAAAAACCTAATTGGAAGAGGAATGTTTTGTTATAAGGTGCCAGCATTTTATTGAACATACTAACTGGTTCTAGAATTTGATTCTCTGGAGTCGAGACAATACTGTGTACCTACCAATAAATACTACAACCATTAAACAGCATGATTGAATTGAGGGAATTGAACTCTGGGTTTGCATTTCACAAGGACTTAAAACACTTTGCTTTTAATGCAATTGGTAATGTTTATTGTTGTTCTTTTTATAATAACCATCATGAAGCATCACTAGCTGACAACGTAAAAAAGCAATAAAAACTTGAATATAAGTATCCAAATTACAAAGCATATTTATTATCACGCATATGTTCAATAGCACCAATACTATACCGGTTTTCTTATTCTAGGAATCAGAGATAAAAAGAGATGGAGATCATCAGAGATAACAAAAGCCATTTATTTTTGGGGTGGCTAAGAGTTTTCCCCTTTGTTGAACTGAAGTTTGAAATTTTAAATTAAATTGAGGAATGCATACATCCTTGTGTTGGCAGAAAACAATATCAGAAGAAAATTTATTAAACTCCCCCACATGCACAGCCAGACACCAGTAATGCCTGTCCTTCATCTATTGTCTGTTTCCAGTCACTGCCGATCTCTTCCCTCCAAGCTCCTTCCAAAATTCCTAGCAGATTTTATCCATGTGGGAGATACTCTTGGAATCAGGTCAATTAGTGGCAGTTTAAGCTTGTATATATATATTGTGAGACGTGGTGGTTCAGTGGCTAAGATGCTGAGCTTGTCGATCAAAAGGTTGACAGTTCAGCGGTTCGAATCCCTAGTGCCATGTAATGGGGTGAGCTCCCGTTATTTGTCCCAGCTTCTGCCAACCTAGCAGTTTGAAAGCACGTAAAAAATGCAAGTAGAAAAATAGGAACCACCTTTGGTGGGAAGGTAACAGCATTCCGTGTGCTTTTGGCGTTTAGTCATGCTGGCCACATGACCACGGAGACGACTTTGGACAGTGCTGGCTCTTTTGCTTTGAAACAGAGATGAGCACTGCCCCCTAGGATCGGGAACGACTAGCACATATGTGCGAGGGGAACCTTTACCTTTAAGTTTGTATCTCTCGTGGGATGTGGATGAAATAAATGCAATGGAATGGGGACAGAGCCAAAAGGGATGTTGCAGGTTCCTACCATGTCATGGATAAATGCAAGCAAAGAATAGTCCTAAAATAGTAGCACAGTTTTCAACAACCTTTTCATCAAACCTTCTGAGATATTGATAGGTCAATTTCATTAAGTCTCAGACTCAAGAAGTACATGTGGAAAGGGTCATCTGGAGTCACTTTAGTGCTGCCCAATTTGATTTTGATTGATCTCAAGATATTTTGATTGCAAGTATAATTCTAAGCAGACCATAATGGTCAAACAACCCAAATTTACAGGCTGCTAATTCCCAAAAGCACACATACATAAAAGTGTTGAATAAAATGGTGGTGGTGATCAGTAGTGGAATGCTGTCGGTTTAACAACCGGTTCGGTGTGCACATGCTTTGCGCGTGTGCGTGCCTAAGGGACTTGCATGCAGCACTGAAAATGGAGCATTTAGAAGCTCAGCTGCTTGCCTTCCAAGTCAGCAATGGTAAGTAGAATGGGGGGGGGATCAGCTGTGCCGCGCAATTGAAATGAGCTACAAAGCAGGAAATAAAGGACAGGATAGAGCGGGGGCGGGTGGGCAGGGCCAACTGATCATCAGAGCTACTGGTTCGCCTGAACCGGTCAGAATCAGCTGAATGCCGCCTCTGGTGGTGATGAAGATGAGGATGATATCTATGTAAGGCACAATCCGTTTTGCAGATTTGTTTGTTTTGTTTGCTTTTGACTAGATTATTTTTACACAATACAGAACAAACCATTAATGGGTAAATAAAGTCAGCATATAATGCAGTGAATTGGACTTTAATCTCATGCAGTGATTAATCGTTGGTTAGAGGAAGAGATTATTGCAATGTTTTCAATGTTTGGAAGCTATACATACAGATCTCAAGCTCTGCAAGCTCTGTTGGAGCAATTTAATCTTATAATTAGTCATTACCTCCCTTAATCCGTAAAAGATCTCATGAAGTCATAAATGGCAGAGAAATCCTTCATAATTCATTTATGATTTACCTGTCTTTGAAGATCATCATTTCTCCTCGAAATTCTGTGATAGCATCAAGCGTTAAGTTTTCACTGCATTTCTCAGGGGTTTTGGGATGATCAGGATGGGGATCATGATCTCCTGCACCTGGGTGAATAAATTATTTATTCGTTAAATATAGATTACATGTTGTGATTCTAAGACTTTGGGTGATGCACTAATTAAACAATATTTGTGGAATCCATGACATTTTTGCATTTCTCCCTACCTCTTCACATTTCCATTGATGAAAACAACTTATACAAATTTTGTGCTGCTTCCAATTTTCCCATACTTTCATTAACTCTCTAACCAGGAAATGTTCTCATTAGTTTTTGTTTGTTTGTTTGGCTTTTTAAAAAAGATTGGATATGGACAGTTCAGAAACTTTCAGAGTCATGGAAAGATCAGGAACGATGAAGCACAAAATCAGCAATTTGGTTATTATTTCAAAAGAAAGTAAAGTCAATTACATCGCCAAGAGAAATTCAAATAAACATTCAAGCATTCTGAGAATAAGAGAGAAAAGCAGAGAGGCTCTTTTGCAGAAGAAGAAAAAAAAAAAAACCTTAAGAAATTACAAGGCAGGTTTTGGCACAGCGTTTCAATAAGCAGAAGAAACCTCAAACTACCAGCTTACCATAAAGAGTCTGGATCCCTTGTAAATCATCATCTGGCAACAAGAAGCCAGTGTTCCCTGTGTATGTGTAGACTGGATACATCAGAGCACCTGGATCCCTGGAATGCTCGAGTCCGAGAGCATGACCAAATTCGTGGGCAGCCACGAGAAACAAATTATATCCTAGGAAACAAAATGCCTTTGCGTCAAGAAAGCAACCAAGCTTGCATCCTAATTTTACCAGGTTAAAAACCTGGTTTCTTCCTTTTGTTTCTTTTGGTAGCATTCACAATAATAACAGCCATCATTTAAGTCAAGGGTGGGCTGCAGGGGGTTCGCAGGGGTTTGCCCACCCCAGCCCGCCCCTCCCAGGAGTCCCCACACGGCCCGTTTTGGATGCAGGTAAATGCAGGACGCGCCCGGAGGCTCAGAGAGGGTGAAAAACGGGCCTACCGGAACTTCGGGAAGGCCAGAAATGGGCCCGTTTCCAGCCTCCAGACAGCCTCCTGAGCCTGGGGAGACTGTTTTTGCCCTCCTGGAGGCTCGAGGAAAGACTCCGGAGCCCAGGGAGGGCAAAAATGCCCCCCCACACACCATGGTGCAGGAGGCCAACTAGGCCACGCCACCATGGACATGCCCACCCAGCAACCAGGCAGAGAACCCCTTGCTAAAATTTTTGAAGCCCACCCCTGATTTAAGTGTTTGTTTAAGTAGTCCTACAGGCTCCTCCAATATTTTCACTTTCCATGAATTGAAATAGTATCTGTTAGCTAAATTATTTACCAACATAGATAGGAAAGTTGGGGAGTTAGGCTATCTATTTGCATCTGAGGCAAAATTTCTTCTTTCTACTAAGGTTTTCAGCCTCCAAGGATTTTTGGGGTCATGAAAATGGCTGCTGTTATGTCACTAGAAATATGTTTTGATTATTCCCTCCTCCCATTTTTTGAGAAGTTCATACAGGTAGTCCTCAACTTATAACAGTTTGTTTAGCGACCGTTGAAAGGTACAATGACATAGAAAAAAGTGACTTATTATCATTTTTCACACGTATGACCATTGCAACATCTCCATGCTCACATGATCAAAATTCAGATGCTTGGCAACTGATTCATATTTATGACGCTAGTGTCCCGGAGTCATGTGATCACCTTTTGTGACCTTCTGACAAGCAAAGTCAATGGGGAAGCCAGATTCACTTAACAACCAGGTTACTAAGTTAACAACGGCAGTGATTCACTTAACAAATGTGGCAAGAAAGGTCATAACGTGGTGCAAAACTCATCAATGTTTCACTTAGCAACAGAAATTCTGGGCTCATATGTGGTCATAAATTGAGAACTACCTGTATATTTCCCCCCCCTTGTGCTTAAAAGTTTTCTTGGCAGCAGAACAGAACTGGCTTCCAAGAACTTTTGCCAACAGCTTTGGAATTCTTTTCTGAACTCCATCCAGAGATGGTATTTAGCAGGTTCTGATCAGTTCTGGAGAACCGGTAGCAGAAATTTTGGGTAGTTCAGAGAACCAGTAAATACCACCTCTGACTGGCCCCACCCCCATCTATTCTCTGCCTCCCATGTCCCAGTTGATCGGGAGGAAATGGAGATTTTGCAGCAACCCTGCATTCCCTACCCACCCACTGGAGTGGGTAGGGAATGAAGATTTTACAGTATCCTTCCCCTGCTATGCCCACCAAGCCACGCCACACCAACCAAGCCCACAAATCTGGTAGGAAATTTTTTTTAATCCCACCACTGACTCTATCCAAGTATTGACCCTGTTTAGCTTTTACGGCTAAAATATATGCTGCTAACAGCTAAGGTTATGCACATTTATCTGATCTGAATTCAGTGGAATATGCGTTCACCTTTGTGCAAATAGGAAGTGAATTAATAGGTGCAATTGGTATCGATAAGCTAGTAGTAATCAAAACAAACATCTCTGCCCGTTATGAAATTATGAAGCTGAACAATGACGAATCATATTCATGTATTTCCACAAAAAGGAAAGTCCGCTTATGAAAGAAGTCACTGGTTAAACATTGACATCAAATACTGTTCAGAACCAAAGAGCATGAAGGGAGTGGAAATGCTTTTTAAAACCCATTTTAGTTACCTTTGGAATCGGTTGACCACAATTCATCCTCATCAAAATGAGCATCTCCTCCATAACCTGGTCCAGGAGGGAAAGCATGAGCCAGGAGACCAGAAGGTCCATCAAAAGGATAGAAATCACCATGTTCTACAACCATATGGAATAATAATAAATACCATTAGTATTTTTAATTTGACAATCAAATCAAACGATAACCCTTCTATTAACATACAAAAAACAAGTAAAGAACAGAAGAGCCCTGAAGCTGGACTAGGCCAGCTACAAATGAAGTCCACCACTTCATGTTACAAATCAAATGCATGTAAAAAGTTCTCAAATACAGACAGGACAATGCTAATCCTCTCCTGCCATTGCTCTCCAGTAAGTTGCTTGTGATTCCAGCATTACCAAACACCCATCAAGACTAGTATTAATCATAAAGTAATCATAAAGTAAAAGATGAGGATTAAGATGAAGATGATGTGCTGTGATAAATAATTAAAATAAAGATGATTATGTTGGGATAAACAGCAATGAAGATGATTTGTTGGAAATAACAGTTAAGATATTGTTTATGATAATAGTAATGATTTATATTTCTAAGATACATTCATCTAATCAAAAAGAAAAGATAATGAAATGATATTGGGTTAGGATTTAAAGATTTAAGTAATGGGTTTTTGGATAATGGTATAAAATAGATAGAATTTAGGGAAACAATTGTGTAAAACATTAAGTTGTGTTATTTGGAAATTAAGATCTGAGATGAAATTATAGAAAGGTAATTGTTTTGAGTGAGTCATTATGAGCTGGTCTTTCTTTCTCTGATTTATATATATTTTTTTAATTTTCTATATGATCATAATTAGTGGAGATAACTTGTTGTTAAAGATGAATTTGTGATTGGACCAATTTATGACCGGATCAATGCTTCGTTCTAAAAAGATGTATTTTATGTTTATGTTTTAAAAAATTAAAAAAATTAAAAAAAAAACCTAGTAGTAATCATGTCCTCCATGGCTTCACCAAGAAAACCCCAATGGCAACCATTTCCTCACTGTTTTTTTAACAGATTAACAGAGTTGGAAGGGACCTTGTAGGTCATCTAATCCAACCCCCTCCCCCCCCTCGCCCAAGCAGGAGACCTTACACCATTTCTGACAGATGGCAGTCGAGTTTATTTACCTCTTCGTCCAAAGGAGATCATGATATCTGCTACTCCGGTGCGAATTCTGGTGAAGTTGAGTGGTGTCACATCAGACCAGACTTTGAATGCCTTTCGGAAGGCTCGCTCCACTTCAGACTTTTTCAGATCCGGGGTGTAATTTAAAATCCTACCAAAATCAAACAAATGATATATATATATTTTTAGACTCAGAAAAAGATTCCAAACACGGTGACAATAATATGATATTCTTTCTTATGCTTTTGATTTTGCAAACAGAAGCAGTTTTCCTATATTTACTGAAGTAGGTTTTTCAGTCCCCAAAAGTGTGGTGTTTTTTTTTTTTTTTTTGGCAGAGTAATAATAAATTTGCCTTATTTTTAGTTGTAAAAAGATACATTTCATACATAATGGAAATAACTTAGATTGTCTGGGTCTGTGAGACTTGTGGTTTGTTTACTGGAAGCTGCTTTAACATGTTTACAGCTGTTTAAACACTGTTCGACCATAAAGCAGCTTCAGAGCATTCATCTTAATGTTGCCTATTTAATACATAACATTCATCTTAAATAAGCCGAGTATGATATTATCATAAATAAAAGTAGACAATCCCTCTGAGGATATGGAAGAAATTCAAAATCACATTGTCATTTCGATTAAAAACATCCCATCCCTTTGCCTCATTCCCTCAACCACCATGGCCATCAAATCCCCTCCAAATTTTAGCCCACTCTTTTGATTCCCCCCCCCCCTTATAGCAGAGGTGATGGGTGCCACTGGCCTGGGAAATCCATCAGCACAAATTGTTTGGATCTGGAGCTAGAGACAAGCTGCTTCTCACCTGTATGTTAAATTAGTATGGGACCACTTTAGATTTCGAGGAAAAAAGTTGTACTCTCCCACATCAGGGACTCCACATCGGGGCTGCTTCATTAACTCATAGGTTTCTTCATTCAGCTTTCCGGTGACTTCTAGCCCCAAAAACGATTGCATTTCTCGAAGTTTGGTGGAAAATGTATCCCCTGACTTCAAGATGCTGGCGGGACTTGACCAGAGATTATAATGAGTCTTTAAATAGTGCTGGAGAGAAGAAAGAAGCAAAACAGTTTTTCAATACGGTACTTTAATACTGATGGTAATAGTAAGATAAAGGAAAATCACTAGCAGAGTTAGAGATAGAAGTAATAATATTCCATACAGATTCACCAAAACAAAAAGTTCAGGTCTTTTCTATTGTAGCTTACCATTCATATGTTAACAGAATAATAACAGTCCAACCCTTGTTCAAGCAAGAAACCCCACATCATTTCAGGCAAAAGTTATCCAATCTGCTAAAACCTTCCCATGTTGAAGCACCCACAACTTCTGGAGGCAAGTCGTTCCATTGCTTAATTGTTCTAACTGTCAGGAAATTTCTCCTTAGTTCTAGGTTGCTTCTCTCCTTGACTAGTTTCCATCCATATTGATAGTGATAGTGATAGAGAAGAAGATATTGATAGAGAAGAAAGCAACGCGGAGAAGAAAAACAGATGCAGGAACGTGTAGTTTAATGAATCAATCACTTTACCTCTGCAAACTGCAGCTCCTGTTTTGTGAACTCGTCGCTATCATCCTCATCGGAAATCTGCAACCTAAAACACCAGGACAGGCCCAGCAACAGAAAAAAAAGCGATTGCAGAATTTGGATGCATCTTGCAGGTTCGATGGATGCTAAAGGCTGGAACTCTTGATGGTTTAGCAAAATAACCTGGCCTGCCTTTTATAGAGCGACTCTGATGATTCATCATGTTTCACTGAGAAATACCAACTTCCGAGTGCCAGAGAGTAAACATTCTTACTCTGCATTCCCCACTCCCCCACCCCTTTTCCCCTCAGAAAGGCTTGGCTTGGCTTGGGGAAAATCTTCTGTTGTCCCACGGATGGCTTCAGATTTGTGGCTTTCAATAAGCATGGTCTCAGCATATTTCCAGGTGTTGTGGAAAAAATTGAGGTTTTCATTTCTGATGAATTTGCAATAATGCCATGGATCTTTCATTGTTGTTTGTGGAGGTGGGGGGGGGGGGAAGAGAAATTCCTTTGTTCTGACAAAATAGGCTTGAAAAGCAGTGTATCGTTTGCATATTGTACTGAAAAACAGAATAACGGAGTTTGAAGGGACCTGAGAGGTCTTCTAGTCCAACCCCCATCCCCTGCTCAAACAGGAAACAATGCTTAAAGCAATAGTCTGCAAAGAGATATGCATTGATTTGGGGCATACAGTACAAATAGATGATGGACTAGGCAAAATGATTATGTTTGACAAGTTTGAGGCAGGCAGAAGAAGGGGAAGACAGCAGATATTTTGAATAGTTTTGTGTATGCTTCTCACATCAAATCAACAAGAAATCTTCCCTCCAACTTTAGGCAGCTGTAATCATAAGGCGCTCTAGGAATCACAACAATAAGATTGGGTTTAAGATCATCAGGTTGATCAGTCTTGCTATATGGGAGAAGATCCAATGATTTTTACTCCAATCATTGTACAACAAAAGTAGTCCTAACCTAAAAAAAGTCATATTAGATTTCTTTCTCTGGTCTACCGTGCAGGGCTGACATTTTGATTGGCTGGATCAAGCCTGGTTAGTATTTTGACAGAAGTTCAAGAAATCTGACAACTCTTGGCTAGCCTGGAAAATGTCTTGGAAAAAAACAGTAGCAAACCATAGAATCTCCATAGACCAGTAGCAAACCACTTGTATTCTGTAGCCAAGAATATGTTACCAAGTTGTCTAGGAAGGTGCCAGGAGGCGAAATGACTTGAACAAAGCTTTAATTTTCACCTTTGTTGCATATCTATCCCAATTCTTCTATTGCATCATGAACTAATTATTCCTAAACATTATCCACTAAGTGACTTTTCAGTATGTGCTTTGCTTCTTGCCTTGCTTTCAGAAATAACTTAGATTGGAGACAACAATAATCGTCTGACAGGAAATCCCACTGATTAAAGTTCAATCAATTATTAGGATAATAGAAGCATTACAATAAATTCCACCAAAGAACATAAACAGTTAGAAGGTGGGTAGAAAGAATTACTCATTCATTGCATTAATTTTTCAGTTTCACCACTAGAAAGGAGCGGCATGAAAATTATCTGTATAATCATAGTAGCCAGGATCTACATTTCCCCTCCCTGTGTACATAAAGGTGAGGTAGCATTAGAAGATTTTTTATAAAAGACTAGACAACCCATGGCCTGTGGGTTCAATGTTTCAGAGTTATTTCCTTATCTAAACAGAGAAACAAAATGACCATAAGTGGACAAAAAAGCATTGGGAACGAAAGTGACTTCCAACTACAGTAGTGGCCAAAATTGTGGAAACCTTTTGGGAAAAATGTATTTTTGAGGTTTAATGGCTAATAACACCACTTTTTTTTTTTTTTTTGGAGTTTCAAGATAATCCTATTCCACTGCTAGAATGGCCTGGGAATAGCCCAGACCTTAACTCAATTGAAAATCTATGGAGCCAACTAAAGAAACTTGTCAGTCAGAAGCGACCCAGCAATAAAACCCAGTTAATAGAAGCAATCATTTAATCTTGGTTTCACATTATAACAGCTGAAGAACTAAAAGACTTGGTTCACTCCATGGGAAGACGTTGTAATGCTAAAGGTTGCTCAACTAAATATTAACTGACGTGATAATTTTTGTATATCTTGTTTTTTTCTATGGTGATAATTTTTGTATATCTTGTTTTTTCTATGTGTTTCACTTTTCCTCTTTATACTGTAACTGCTATTCTAATAGCAAATCCTTCATAAAAGTTATTGCATTACATTCTTGATTAAATTATCTTTCTATTGATGTATAATTTTATGGTACTACTCAAAAAAAAGGGGTGTTATTAGCTAGTTTTAGAAAATACACTTTCCCCAAAAGGTTTTCACAATTTTGACCACTACTATACGTATCAGTTTCCCCACTGAGTTTCCTTGTGAGAAGCTGGCAAGGAGCATCAGAAATCTTCCTTCCTTCCTTCCTTCCTTCCTTCCTTCCTTCCTTCCTTCCTTCCTTCCTTCCTTCCTTCCTTCCTTCCTTCCTTCCTTCCTTCCTTCCTCACATTTTAGCATCAACAATACTCAGAAAAGACAAGGTGACAACCTGATAGAAGCTTTGGCTATTTTGTAAGTCCATCACATGCATGCCTCTTTCATGTGTGACACAGATAAATATGGGGAGAGCTTTGATCACAGTGTTGTGGGCCCCATTTGGGGTGTGTGTAGAGAAAAGGAAAAAAAATGACTTTGATGGAAATATGGAAGAACTGCTAACTAATCAAAGGGGTCTGAAACATATTTTAAATCCTGAGAAATGAGGTCATATTTAGAAGCATCAGATGCAGATGCTTGATTTACTGGAATATAACGAGTGGTGGTGGGTGGGAAATATAATACAAACAGGCTTAAAAGATTTTGCTATTATAGCCACTATTTATAAAAGTAGTTTGAACCTTCCTGTGAAGTTGATTTCTTGGTCTGCCTAGTGGGGCTGACCCTGCAGATAGTATAGAGCAGGGATGTTAAACTCAAGGCTCTGGGGCTGGATTTGACCCACGGGGTGCTGAGATCTGGCCCGCGGGACTGCCCTGGAAACAGCAAAGGACCGGCCCGTAGTGCTTCTGCCACTGAAAACGGCGCTTGGGAGGGCTGCATATGGCTCTCCCGAGCTCCATTTTCATTGGCAGAGGGTTGCAGGAAGCCGTCGCAGCTGAAAACGGAGCTTGTGCGGCCCTCCCGAGTTCCGTTTTCACCGGCAGAGGGCTGCAGTAAGCTGTCACAGCCGAAAATGGAGCTTGGGAGCCCGTTTTCACTGGCAGAGCACTCGGGCCACCCCCAACAGAAGTGACATCAAGCTGGCCATGCCCACCCCGGCTCCTCGAGGTCAAACACAACTCTGATGCAGCCCTCAATGAAATCGAGTTTTATACTTCTGGTATAGAGCAGTGACAACAAGGCAAAAGAAAACATCACTGCCAGAAGGAGCACTTTATCTCAAACAATAAAAGATGCTCAAAAAACCCCAAAGAGACAATCAAAATAAATGTTCGCGCGTACTTAACATAAGAAAAAAAACAAGGTTTTTTTTGCAGGGAAGAAAATACAACATTAACAGAAACTTAATAATAAATGCTTGGTGGTGTAGTCCCTCTGCATCGATCACAATATAGCTTTCTCTCGTTGGGTTACTTAATCCTTCTTTAAATCCATGTGATCATAGCTCATTATTCATCACTACGAATACTTTACATTTGTTTTACAGGCCATTATTGACTGCCAATAAGAATTTTGGATGCAATTGGTTTTGACTTTAAAAGTGGTTTTTTTCCCAGTGAGACCAGTATATCAGGGCAACCTGGTCTACCCAACTATGGGACGGAGCATACTGCTTCTGCTTTCGCCTTTCAGCCCCAATCCAGGAGCCTTCGCAGGCAGTTGCTTTCGCAACAAACTATTTTTGTGTTAAATTTATGTTTTTACCGACAAAGAAATAAAGGGAGTGTCAGGGTTCCAAGTAACACCCCCAATGAAATAAAACTCAGAGGCTTGAAATTCCTCAAAGCTACATTTTATTAGAGATGTCATATTGGCACATCTGGGAAAACCCGAATCTGAAAATTTCCAGGTTTTCCCCACCCAAAGAAAAATTCAAGTCCCTGCCCAACACCCACAAGTCCATCACATAGTCCAATCAAACACCATCCCAACTGGGGATGCCTCCCAGTTCCAGCCTTCCAGGTGCAGGGCAAGTTGTCCTTGATTTCTTGAGAAAAGAATGTTATTATGACTACATATCACCCATGCTCCATACAATCCCCCCTCTCAGTTTCCCACAGTAGTAAACTTGGCAGAACTGGAAGCCTAATACAAAAGATGATCTATTTCAAGCTATTTAGCTCTCATCAGCTAGCCATATCTTCTGGGATTTGAACGATATGGCTTAGAGGTTAATACATCTACCTAATATGCAAGTATCCCAGGTTCGAATCCCAGAAGGGTATGGCTAGTTGATGAGAGCTAAATAGCTTGAAATAGATCTATATTAGTCCCCCTTTATTTCTTTGTCGGTAAACATAAATTCAACTTTATGATTAATCCATATTTGTGATTCAGTGAGATGCTAAGAAAATGCTAAGAAAGTTCTCAGAATATCTGTTTTCTCTGTTAGAATTTACAAAGGATTTTACATATATGTTGAACACAGTTCTATTTCTCCAACTGAGGAAGAAAATAAAAGAACATTTTTTTTCTGGCTTCCACAGTTAGAGGAATTAAAAACAACTGTGTGGATTGGCTGATCCATACAGAACAGACATAATCAATGTAAACATTCATCAAGTTCCCCCATGCCATCTATAATATTTTCAGTCAATCCTGCTTCCAAGTTGATCAAATTCCTTGTTGTTTAACAGCCTAATACAGAGTTTGCTGGTGTAGTGTGGATGACTTCTTTGTGTGAAATGCTATACTCAAGTTGGAATGAGCCACAGAAGAAATAAATGGAATCTGCAAGAAAAGAAATTAATTAGAGGCTGTAGTTCTAAAGGTGATTGGCATCTTGTTCATGGAGGTTTCTAGATCTTGCAGACAATGTTGGGTCTATCAAAACGGAGAGGGTTTGAAAGGAAGGGAATGAACTAAGACAGAAATGAGTACAGATAGTCCTTGA